ACGGCTTCAACACTCTGAGTGCCTGGAAATTCTTTTTTTGCCTTAGAATGAGGTGGGGGCATCAGGGCAATTTTGGCATTTATTTGCAGTGGTTATGGTGCTTAGAGTGTTCCTTTAACTTAAACATTTGACTTACTTCTGCTTTATCGGTGTATATGGTAAATGCAAACTCGTTAAACTTGCGACTCTTCAGGAGAAAGGAGATATTGGCATCAATGATGCATGATGTCATCATTCATGCATTTTGAGATTCTAAAATGTGATCTTCCTTTTGCAATACTGTAATGTGTATATACTTTTAACAGATTATCAAGTTTGCTCTTAAGTAACTATGCTTGAGAAATAACATTTTGTATATGTGATCAAATAATTTTGTAAATTATTCTTCACTAATGAAACTGTCAGAATCACTGTTTAGTAGATGAAGTCCACAATGCAGAGGAGCGCTAAAAGTTGATGGACCAGGTTCAGTACAAAAGGGGTAAAACGGAGAGCGTAGTCAAGGATGCAAAAGGTCAGGACACGCGGCACAGGTTCAAAGATGAAGATTAAAGCAAGGGTCAAAAGCAAGATATGGCAAGTAGTCACTGAAGGTCTTTACACAATCAGGAAGATACAACTGAGTGAGGAGTCAAGGGTGTGTGGGTTTTAAATAGGCAGAGTGGGCAGTCTGCCTACTGTAGCTCCTCCGTGGTCTCCACCTCCTGTATCTTTAAAAGGCCCTGTTTCGACGCACACCCTATGATTCTCCTGAAGCTCTGCTTCCTTTGTGTCCGCATGTGGGAAGTGGCAGCGTTCACACAAACGTGGGTAGTCGGGCCGACTGCGCTCTCTGAAGAGTCGCGCTTTAATGCGGCTTCCTCGTGGAGTGAGAGGGAGACGTGGTGGTGGGAGCGCGAGGTAGGTGAGTGTGGGAGCTAGGGCCTGATAAACAAATAAATGAAGCCCAGCAGTTAAAAAAATAATAAATATGTGTTATGTGAAATAAGCATATGAATGACCAAAAATAAATTAAAAATACTTTTACAGATCTGATTTACTCTAAAATAAAATAAAGCAAAAATTTAAATATTGGTAAAAATACAAATCTATCACTCTGGATTAGCGGAAAATTTTCCTTATTGAAATATACAGAGTTCAGAGGAATGTGGTGCATTAAACATTACTTGTAATAAGGAGTAATTAAAGAAGAGTAATAGAAAACAGTAAACATTTAACAAAGTGTCATTTAAAACCACAGAGAGACAATTAAAATGTGATATGAAGAGCAACTGGGATAAACTACATTGTTATTAAATAAAGAGAAATTTTGTGAGCAGTTCAAAGTGAATTTCAAATTTGAAACCCAAATCTCCAAACTCGAAAAATTCTCGGGTCACCGATACTGGCATTTCTGATCATTTGGCCTTAAAATGTTACTCCAGACAAAACTGTTTTCATAAAACACTTGTTTTGGTTAGAGTAATCCTATGTGATGTGTTCCCCCACCATAATAATAATGAATCACAAAAATGTACATCTGTTCCATCACAGTCCAATTTTGTAAAGATTTGACATTAGCCAGCCTGGAAATTTGTTCTGGGTTGGCTAATGAAGCTGCTGAAGTTAGTGTTACACCTCCAGCAGATAAAGTATTCATCTCTGTATGTGCAGTGTTTCAAACCAAAACACTGCACATTCAGACTCCTAGCACCATGATCACTTCAAATTACTGAAGTGATGATGTAAATTTGAAATTCACTTTGAATTCTTAAGATTTTTTACTTTAATGAATTAAACTGATGGACCTACCTATCCTTCCTATTACACAAGTATGTCCCATCTAGGCCCCTATGTCCTCTGTCCGATGCTTGCCTTCAAGACTTTTCTAGGGCTGCACCGTTCCTGTGGAACTCCTTCCCTTCCCTTCTCTGTTTGACTCTCACACAATCTCCAGTCATTCAAAAAGTCATTGACTCACTTCTTTAGGGAAGCATGTTAATAGAACTGTTAAAAGCTTTCCGCCGCACCTTGATTCCTCTCCTGTAACTGTCAACAAAAATATATATATATTAAAAAAAACACTAAGCCCTCTGTACATACCATTTTTTAAACTCATACTTGTTAACCCATCCTCTTAACTTTTGTGTTTCTATACCCCACACCCTCTAACATGTAAGCTTATTTGAGCAGGGCCCTCACACCCCTCTGTTTCTGTGGTTCTAGCTCATCTGGTTACAAATACATGTCTGTTAGTCCACCCATTGTACAGTGCTGTGGAATTTGTTGACTCTTTATATATTTATATATGATAATAACAGAGTCTCTTAGATAAACAGATTTGATATGAAAAACTGATGCTACTGCTCAAAATACCGTCTCTACATTATGTCCAACATAATAAAGTATTTTAACTTCAAAAGTCTCTTTGACTCTTGCCAAGAAGCAGGTCTGTCAGTGTCAAAATCTCTTCTTTTTAATTCTTCTGACGCTTCTTCTCTCTGACTAGTTACTGTCAGTTGTGCTTAATATATTTATGACTGCTTTTTCATGTCACCATCTCCATTGAGTTTCACCCCAAAAGCTTTCTATCGCATAGCACCTACCAGGATGACCCCGTGCCATCACCATGCTTTGATTTGTTATTGTTGGTCCACAATGAGTAAGTGGCTGATGTAAGGATAAGTTGTGTTCCAAGAAGAGAGTCTAATTAGAAGAATGTTAGATTGACGGAATTTTCACTTAAGTGTGAATTGCCAGGAATTAAAAATTAATTGCACTTATTTTGGTCAAAATTGTCAATATGAAAGCATAGTTTTTTTTTTTTTGTTTTTTTTTTTTATAAATTCTTTATTTTGGTAGTGCATACATAAACAATACGCTTGAATAGCCACAACAGCTATAGCAAGCTGCAATCAATAGAATAGTATAACAATAGCATGGCATGTGAGTATCGGCACAATTTTTTAAAAGGGTTATATAAAAGATTCAACATAATGCAGCCACTGAAAATAGGATAGAAAAAGAGCAATTTCAATCCTGGTCGTATGGTTAGTGTCGGCGTATATGCTTATGGACTGGAGTATGCCTACAGTGGAAGGCAAGGTGCATGCTTATGTGCCTCTTGAGTCAAAAGTGAAATGGGATCCTGTGTTCTGAGGGAGTATGTTAATACGCCCGTGTTGTGGATCAGTTAGAAATTCCAGCTATAGGCCGTGTGTAAGGTCGTAAGGCCTTGTGGACAGAGAGGGCTGTGCACGGCCTAGATTGTCGTGTGAGTGAGAGGATAAAAGAGGATACTGACGTGCAACCTGGTAGTGTGTTTGTGCAGCTCCTAATTAGTGATCTCGTGGTAGAGTAAATGCGTTGGAGCTGGGGGGGTTTTGGTATTAAAGGGAGCCAATTAGTCCGGGTTCTGCCCGGTTCGGCGGCAAATAAAAGCCGTATAGCAATCCTGCTATGTGTGTGTAGGGGTTTCTGGGTTACCCCTCAATAGGGCCTATGCCCTGGGAGTAAACTTGTACGTTTACAGCGGTGTGTATAAGAGGGAGAACATTAAAACAAAACAAAAAGCAAAACAAGAGTAACTCAAAAGTCCCGGTTCAGGTAGTCTGCTCTCCAAGCGTTCCCCTGGATGCTGGAACAAATGGGACAACTTTAGTCGGATCCCAGGTTGTAGCGGTTGAAGATGGCCGTAGTCCCATGTCGGTCAAGACAGTGTCCATTTCTGCGACGTCCGTCGCTTTATATTCCTTGCCTTGGTGTTGGATGAGGAGTATGTGTGATGGTCCCCAGCGATACTTCACTCCCTTAGCCGTCAATGCCGCTGTAAGTGGTCGGAGAGATTTCCGCCATTGCAGTGTTGTGCGTGAGAGGTCGGAATAGAACGTTAAGTCCATGTCCTCAAAGCGGTATGGATTTTGTCCCCTGATGGAGTCCATTAAGGCAGTTTTGTCTTGCCCATTTTGAAATTTGACCAGAAGGTCACTTGTCGCTGAATTTGCAAGTTGTGTCGGCTTGGGCAAGCGGAACATGCCATCTAGTTGCACCCCTTTAGCTTGTTTGGGGGACAGGAGGGCTGCGAAAAGCCTTCTGAGTAGGTGGGGAAGTTCGGCTGGGGCAATTGCGTCTGAGAGGCCTCTGATTTTAACATGCTTCCACCTCCTTTTGTCTTCCATTGCTGCTAGTTGGTGGGTGAGTGTGATGTGGGCTGAGGAGAGGTCTTTGACCTGATTCTGCAGCTCTGTTATTTGTGCTGTTTGTGCCTGGGTGGATTGCTCCACTGCTGAGAGGCGATCAGTGAACCCCTTTACATCCTCCCTTACCTGGGAGATCTCTGCAGAGAGCGACTGGCGTAGGTCAGTCAGGAGAGAGGTAAGAATCTCCGTAGTGATTGGGGAGCCCATCGGCTGTTGTTTGAGTTTAGGAGGTCCCTTGTACCCCAGTGTCTCAGGGCAGTGGAGGGATGTGTCGTCCGAGCTTTCTGAGAAATCCTCATATTCGGCCGCCATGTTGGGCGCCGCCGCGCCATGCGGCCTCCTCAGTAAATCGCCGATATCGGCCGTAAATCGCGGGCGATCGGGCCGCGGCTTTTTGGTCTTTCTCCCCATATCAGGGGGAGTAGTTGCAGGCCGTCTGTTACCAGAAGGGAAGGCTTTTGGGGTCTTTTTCGTCCGGTTTTGGGCTGCGGTCGGCAGAGAGCAGGAGAAGTGCGACCGTTCATGCCGAGAGCTGGCTCTGCCCCCCATGAAAGCATAGTTTACCTGAAGAATATCTTTTACATTTTCAGGTAATTTTGTTTTGTTGACTTTCAGGAGTCTGGATTGAAACACCATCACTTGCTTCTTTCATGCTGAAATAACTTGGCAAATTCTCGGATTAACTTGGTTCCATTTAGACAACAGGGACCAGCAGACTCTCTGTCCTCACTATCAAGGGATTTGTCTGCCAGCTCACTTTTGAACATTTTGTTATATTTCATTCCAGGGGCTTGACCGTACATAGGCTAACAAAATCACCCGCCTGATTGTCCAGCTGATTGCTGTAGGAAGAGCTACCTTATCCGTGATAGAAGAAGAGCTCGCTAACCAGCTGATACAGAAACTTGCTCTGCAATATAACTTTCCCTCGCGATTCACTTTCTGCAAGAACATGGCCCCATCACTGCACTGTTCCTGCATGTTACTATAAAAGGAGCAACTGGCTTAGGCTACAGGTCAGTGGGTGCATGTAAGAACAGATTTATGGGGTGCTCCTAGTGACTAGCAAACCTTCCTCTGCTTGATGGCACATTGGTGACCGCTCATGGTGCCTGGTGTGGTGGTGGTGGCGGTAGAGGAGGAGGTCCAACCGTAGCAGCATGTCAGGTTGGGACTGGATCTGAAGATCAGCAGGGCTATCAATCTCTCCTGTAGTAAAAGCATGCTTCAGCATATATTTCAGGCAATTGCCCTGCACTGCTGCTTGCTTCCCTGTTTAATACTAGGATTAAGGGGAAAGTGGCAGTCTAATACAACAACCTGACATCCTGGAGGAAAATAACTTATTTCCGTGAATTGTAGGGAAAGAGAGGCATGCTGGCAATGTTCTCATTGCTATTACTCCCAGCAGTAGCAGCAGCAGCATGTGGAGACACTACGGTGTGAGCTGAGACTGTTGGCAGTGTGGTGGGAGAAAGTCAGCAAGCAGCCTCAAGGAGACTATTAATGCCTCTAAAATGGTCAGATGTGAACGTGTGTTGTCTCCTAGTGAGGACCCTCTTAGTTACTGGGATAAGAAGAGTGTATAGCCTGCTCTGTCTGGTTGTCCAGCATCTTTTGTCATGTCCATCGACCACTGTTCAACGTTCTCAATCTAGAACCTTCACAAATATCCTTCCAACAGATGGAGCAAATAGCCTTCCTCAAGTTCAATTTCTCAAAATTGTTAATCTGCTCTTCACTGTGATATTTCAGGTGTCATCTCGTAGCTTACATCTATCTGGCCATGTTTCCTTTAAGAGTTGTTTCTAAAATTGTACAAGTATAGAATCTGGTGGTCAAATCTGTATTCCTAACACTAATGTCTCCCTCTAGCCCTGAGCTCGCTTCCTCCCCCCCACCTCGGCAAATAAATGGTTAAAACACCTTTTTCTCCCGCTAGGAAGGTATTGATTCAATGCTTTCCTATGGCGTATTTCAAGATGCTGGACATCTTCATGCAAAGCGTGAGAATGTCCAGCGTAGTTTCATCTAGATAAAGTCCATGAAACCGCAGGAAGTGCCTCTGGTGGTTGCCTGGGAGTGTTTACATTGCAGGGTTCAGTTGACAAGGACACTGACCCCTTTAATGAGATGAAGGAGTTTAAGGAGTTAATTTAATATTTTGGAATAAGCTTTTCAAATGATTCAGTATTTTGAAAAATACTTTGATAGAGTAATCTATAGTGATATATATTTTTTTATTTATTTTTTATATTTGAATATTTTGAGTTTATCCAAAAATTCTAAATCATTTGAAAACCTTATTCAAAAATATAAAATCAATGTCTCCTGCTGCTGCTCCTCATTGTTCAAATGCCTTTCATTGTGGTGGTTTTGCCCTGCCTCACTGAATCTTGCAGACGCAGGTAGTATAAGCTGATGGGGCTCTTTTTTTTTTCCATACAGAGGGATGGTCATTAACGTTAAAGACCGGATACGTGGGAAAATCTTGGTCTTCTCAGGCTTAAAAGAAGTGAGTGGATATCGAATGTACTTTTCCTTTGATTTTTGGAAATAAACTCTTTATTTAAATGTAAAATGAATGCTCCCCATTTTTTTATCAATAAAAGACTGCAACAGGAAAAATATTTACAATCCATTATTGTCATAGAACTAAACTGATTGTCGCTGGAATCCAGACGCACCCTTCATCTTTCCAGCCTTGTGTTTAGGAGCTTTTCTGGGAAACTTCCACCCTACCTGAGCAAAATGCTCTCCTCGGCTGTTCCCACCTCCTATAACCTCTGATCCAGTACCAGCACTTTATTTAGTCTACCTCAATACAAAAAGAAAGCGGCCCGATCCTCCTCCTCCTCCAGAGCGCCGCAACTGTGGAATGACCTCCCGCACACTTTAAAATCTTCCCCATGCCTAAAGTCCTTTAAGAGATCCCTCGCTACATACCTCAAAACAGAATGCACCTGTCATGGTTGATTATATATTTCCTACCTGTTCTATGTTACATTTTGTATATATTGTGTATTAATATTGTTTTTTTTTTGTGTTTTATTGTACACTAATGTAACAATGCAATGTTTTGTGGACCCAGGACATACTTAAAAATGAGAGAAATCTCAATGTATCTATGCTGGTAAAATATTTTATAAATATAAATAAATAAAATCATTGCATACTATTTTTTATTTTTTTATTTTTTTTAGTCCAGATATATAATCTAATTTTGGCAACTCAGAATTAGCTTTGTTGGAATGCGTGATATTGCGTAGCCAGTTGGCCAAACAATATTTTAGTTGTTTTTGCATTTCAACACAGTAATAGGTGAATTTTTCTTGCTTTTTTGCAGCCTTTTGCAGCAGAATTTCCTATTTTCTTATTTTTTTTTTTTTGGTAACAAAATTCTCACACGTGGAACTGCAGAATTGACAGAACTCTGCTGTCCAATTTACACGATTTTGTATGGTTTTACTGAAATTTATTTGCCACAGTGCACAAGCCTTTTAACCCCTTAAGGACACATGACATGTCTGACATGTCATGATTCCCTTCTATTCCAGAAGTTTGGTCCTTAAGGGGTTAAAGGTGGATCTGTAGGAATAATGATTTATCAGGCTGCCCGAGTAGATTTCATGTTTCTTTTTGAAGGGTTGTCTAAAAAGGTTTTAATAGAAAATTTGCTAGATGCATTATGCCAGGAAATCTCTTTTTACTAGCTATATTATTTCAGTGTGACGTTACAGTGATGATTATATAAATAATACTTGGATCACAGTTTTCAGTCCTTTTGACAGGTACTAGTTTGTATCTTGCTATAGTATATTTTAAAGTTGCATAATCCATTCTTCAATACTTCTGAAATTTTCCATAGAATTTAATGGATGCATTCCCTGTCTCATGTTAATTAAATGTATTCTAGCTTTGAATAGTGCCATCTTTAAAGGGCACATGGATGTACATCAATGAAGATATAAGTAGAGGAGTGTTAAAAACATTTCACACAGATGTTACAGAATTCCAGGACCATTACAGTCAGGGGGCACATCTTAAACTAAAGGCAGAGTTGAACACAATACAATTAATAATACAAGCTTGTATTCCTAACGCCATAGTGCTAATTTAAAGCGGTACTGTCATCATTTGGGAACTATGGCAAATAACTGGGCATGTGCAAGAGTACAGCATTGATGTATGTGTCACCCATAGAGCCAATTCCCTGCAGCCTTCATTGTTGACGGCTGTCGAGATTGACACTGTAGCTCATAGTCTCAGAAAGTCAGGCAGAGTCCCAACCTTGTCTCTGTATTTCTTTTGTCTGAGTTGGAATTTCACTTTAAAAGTGTCACTAAAAGCTCAACACCACATTCCACTTGTCTTTCTTCTCAGGGTTATAAGTGAAGCTATTTGCAAAAAGTGTTACCATTATATGGGGCAGTAGTGATTGTGTGACTTTGTAAGGCTTGTAGTATGTGTTTGCATGTTTGTCTTGGTGTGTGTATAGGGGGTAGTGTTTGTTTATGGGTTGTAGTATGAGTATATATGTAGGGATTGTAGTGTGTGTAGAGGGCCTATAGTGTGTTTGAGCGTGTGTTTATGGGCTCTAGATGTCAGTGCATACTTTAAAATTAGATCTTTGATCTTCCCACCGGTCCCATGAATTGATTGAACACCATCTTCAAAAATCCTTGAGTACTAATTATCATACTGTACAGTGGTTTCTGAGATATCCGATCCTCCCTGGTCAGGAAGAACTCTACCAGGTGCTGTATAGTAGTAGGTGCCATAAATATAATAATTAAAGCAGGCACTGTCATGGCCAAATCCAGTTTTTTTTAAACTCCCTCCCGACTCCATTACATCTATTTGTCCCCCTAGTCATCCCTAAATGCCCCTAAGCCCCCATATTACCAATTTTTTTTTAAATCTTCATTTCATGCCCGGACCAAGGTCCTGGGCGCCACCATCTTTGTGTGGGCAGATGAAGTCCCTGTGGGCTACGTCATCTGTCCACACTAGAGAGTGATGTGAAATTCCTGCGCATGCCCAGTTAAACATTTGGGCATTTGCTATTGTCTGAAAATCGGATGGAAATTTCGTATATTCATTCATTCGTCAGAAATACAAAGGAATTAATAAAAATTTCAGACGAACAAACCAACACCATCAGTGCTTCCCGCCACTTCATAGCCCCCCATGTCCTCACTCTATGGTCAATATGACCCCCATATTAGCATGAGGGAGATTAAAATCTCCTGAACTTCCCTACTCGCTATGCCAGAAGTAGGGAGATGTCTACTAAACAGTGAGCAACCTTTGCCCCCCCCCCCCTCTCCACGGCCCCCTCACTTGAGCAGCGGGTGGGGGCCCTAAATTAAAAAGGTGTGGGGACCTATTGTTCTCCCCAAAAGGTAAGTTTGGCATGACAGTTAACTGTTAACTATAGTCAACAGAACAACTACAGCTTATTGTATTGGTTATAGTGAGTATAATCATTGCCTTCAGGCTTTTTGCAGTAAACACGGTCTTTTCAGAGAAAACGCAATGTTTACCTTAAATGCTAGTGATTACTCCTCTGGCCACTCCTCAGATGGCTACTCGAGGTGCTTCCTGAGGCAGCGTTGCACAGTGAGCAGCACTGACTTTCAGTGTCTCCACCCTCTGCATGGAGACACTGAACATTCCTCATAGAGATGCATTGATACTTACAGAAGTCACTATTAAAGTATATGGTAATTTTTGTAGATAAATTATTTAGAAAGTTTTTCTAACCGTATAGAATCATGTGCAAGGCTTATAAAATCAAGGCCCAAGTTGCAAGAGCCTGTAAGGTAAGATACCATTTTAGTATACAATATGCTAACAAGCAAATAATAAAAACAAAAATAGATAACCAGGAGGTCAAGTAGAGACATAAAGAGTAAATCAATATAATAACCTCACATTCAGAATTTAATCTATGAGCTCTGTTAATTTACTGTATTATGTATTTGTATTTGTGTGTTTTTTTTTTTAAATTTTTTATTTAGAGCACATTTACTAGAACATATTCAATATTTATTGACATGCTAACAACTGATGTTAATGAGCTCAGTATCACAAGATTAAAAAATAAATAACATTTTGGCCACATTTTAAAGCTGCTTTGTCCTTATTTATTTAACTTTCTTTTTATTGTTCAAAAAGGAATTTTTCAGTTGTACATTTGTTGGACTCGCAGGTCCCCAAACAATTAACATCACAGTGGGACACGTAGGTCCCTTATCTTTTCCTGGGCTGTCCCGTTTTTTTCCTTTTTAAAAACAATGATTATTTTAGAAGTTACACACTTTTTTTTTTTTTTTTTAATACTGTGCTATTATTAGCACTATGACACTAGCAATATGACACTATGGTGTCATCATTTTAATGCCAACTTCTTAAAAATGTATCACTAAAGATAAGTATGGGCTTGGAGTTGTGGGTATATCTAGTTTTCTATATTTAATTGGAGTGCCAAGCATGTTAATTTTCTGCAAAGCTTACCACTCTCTGTTTACCGTTGTTACTAGGTCACTTTTGTATTCTGTTTAACAATACTTCAAAACAAATGTTGTGAACGAACTGTCCCGGAATGACAGCAAGTATGTAAAAATCTGCTTTGTTTTATGTATTGTTTTGTTGTTTTTTTTTTTTTTTTGATTGCCAGTAAATTGTAATGGATGACCCTCTAATTTCGGGAATATTTCTGTTATGTCCTCCTACATATTCTGAGAAAGTTTCCCTGCAGCTCACACTCACTCATAAGGTGTGTTCTATATATATGCATGATCATTTATGGTTAAAAGAAAAATCCAAATTAGTTAAATTAACACTGAAAGGTTGTGGTTTGGTAGGTGAACCCCCAGCTGTTTCTTGTTCCGGTATACATTACTTATTAGTATTACATGGTAACTTCCAAACTTCTTCTTTTTTTTTTCCCAGAGCAATGACACATTGTACATCAAAATAAAGTAAAGGTTATATCGTACCTGATGTTCTTTAATGAATGTTTGCTGAGGGCCACTACATACACAACTGGCTTTATTTAGACACTAAAGCTATTTATCAACAGATCAGGGATTTTGTTTAGTTAAGTTTTTTTTTTTCCTCTCTTAAAGTAGCAATGTAGACATTATAACCCCTACAGCTCATTTTATTAGTTATGGTGCTTTGAGTCTATAGGTCCAGTCCCCTCTATCAAGCTTTTTTTCAAATCAATTTGGAAAAATTAAATTATCACAACTGTGCTTTCATTGGCTTTCCTTGTGGTGTCAGACAATCAAAACCCATCTAGGATGTAAATAACTATAAAGCACCAAAATAGAAATAAACATTTGGTAACTGCTTTTTGACATAAAATACAACAGATATTAAAGGAACACTATAGTGTCAGGAATACAAATGTATTGAGGATCTTCCTCTCTGGCCCGGTGGGGAGGAAAGATCCCACAGCGCTTCAGTTTTGCACCTTCGCTAGATAGATACTGAGCAGTTCTCTCGGGAGCTCGGCATTCAGAGCGTTCAGAGAGCACAATACCACAGTAACACTTTGATACTATCCGTGCTGGAGCTCATGAGAGGAGGGCTCTTGAAGGTGGAGACCTAAAGCACCACTACCTGGCCAAATGTATTGAAGAGGGAGGGGAGCATTAACTTTAATTTAGTCACATAATTAAAATTATTAATAAAAAAAATAATAATTTGAATTGCTCTCTGTGACAAACGCTTCTTACCCTGGACGTTTGCCACTAACTCCTGGAGGAGTGTGGAAGCTGGCCTCCTGCCCACTGACTATTTTATTCTGCTCGCAAGACATTTCACTCCTAGTTCGTGGTATAAAGTTTCCCGAACATACCATTCCCCAGTTCGGCAGCTGCAATCTACCGAACAACGACCACCCCCCAGCTCATTAACTACAAACTAACCACAAACTTAAGTGCTCTCTGTGAGGCCGACATTCGTATAACCGAACAACAAGTGCTGTGGAAAATTGCGGCCATCTTGTATCGAGAACGCAGGTAGCAGCACTTGGTCATCGAACGTATGGAACTCAGTCTGATCATCCACGTGGAAACCTCTGTGATCTTGCATGGACAGAAGAGCGCTTTTCGGTAGGATTGTTTGCACGAACTAGGCGAACAATCGCTACCTATGATCCAGGGGAACCATTCGACGGTGTGTTCGTTTGGAACTCCCGAAAGTGACCGACCGCTACCACTTTTTCTCTGGAACTAATTTGGCCAGAGGCCACGTGTGCGGTCGATCAAAACTTTACCCTGGTGGCGATTCGGCTGTGTTCATGGGATCTGAGCGCTATTTGGATATGTTGGGCACTCAGATCCAGGCTACCTGGGGATATGATGTTTGTGGGGGTTCCTATATGTGTATTTTAATTTTTTTTTTTATATATAATATTTTGTACCTCTAGTGCCTGGGAGATGATTAGGTCTCCCAGACACAGAGGAGCCTGGGCGGGCTTACTGTACAAATGAATGGAGTCACCATGCTGGGGGTCTGTGTATAAAAGCAGGCCACTGTGCCATAATAAAGCAGTTAATTGTACTCTTAATCAAGTCTTGGCTGATGTTTTGGGTAGCTCAGAATTATAATCACTGCTTCACTTCAGGACCTGGGAGACTTACAAAGGATATAGTCAGTCGGAGTATACGGGATCTGTTACTCTCCCACTGTCTCCTTTCAAAAGCACTATGTTACCACCCTCCTACACACAAAACATCCCTACCCAAACCCACACTATGTTTCCTATATACACATACTACAGCCCATACCCATACTATAACCCCTTGCACACACACTACAGCTCCTACACACACGCAAACCACACATATACCACATATCTTAATTAAGGTGTCTGGGTGCAGTATACTTGTAACCCAATAATGTAAAACATTGCTGTTTTTGTAAAAACAAGCCTATAGTGGTGCTTCCATTTCCATAACCAAGAAAAACTCGGTCTTGCAGTGAAATGAATATTCATTGTGGCTTTAATTGTATTAATAAACATAGCAGCAATAATGCTTATACAGCATTCACTGTTTAATATACAAACTTTTTTACACCATGACATAGCCTTAAATCACCAACTAACGTAAACTGCTGTTTCTAATTATAGGTTGGTGGGCTTTATTGTGCTTTTAAAGTGTTTTTAAAAGCAATTTAATGGTGTATTGTACAGCTTTTTGTTCATTTTTATGTACTTGTTGCCATAGCAATACATTTCAAGCTAGTAACATTGGGTACAGCTTGATGTTTTTTCTTATCAAGTGTCACTTCATCTCACATCGATTTGTCAGTTAGGAAAATCTAAATTATTTCAATATACACAAGGAATGAAGTTTCAAATCTGTATTTATTTTTCAACCTAGGAAATATTTGTTAATTACTGAACCAAGCACTAAAAACTTGCATGTTAGTTATTACAACTTTTTAAAGGAACACTATAGTCACCAGAACAACTACAGCTTATTGTAGTTGGTCTGGTGAGTATAGTCAGTGCCTGCAGGCTTTTCTGCCTAGGAACACCTCCAGTGGCCCTCTTCTGACAGTCACTAGAGTTGCTTCTGGGTCAGTGCTACACAGTGTGAAGCACTGCCATGCAGTGTCTCCACGCTGTGCATGGAGATGCTGAATCAATGCATATCTATCCGGAGATGCTGATTGGCTAGGGTAGTGTTTGGCCCCTCCTCCACCCCACCTCCTTGGCTGAGATCATCAGAATTTACGATCTCAGCCAATCCAGTCCTTTCCTATGGAAAAGCATTGTGATTGGCTGAGATAATCAATTCTGATGACATCAGCCAAAAAAGCGGATCAGGGCGGGCCCGGCACTGGGAAAAAGGTTTGTTTTTTCCCTTATTTAAGGGTGGCAGTGGGGGGCCAAGGACCTTTCATATGTTTAACACTTTAGGGTCAGGAATACAAACACGTCTATACAGTTCCTTTTAAAGGATCACTATGGTGTCAGGAAAACAAACTCGTTTTCCTGACACTATATCATCCTTAGGACCCCCCCAACCCTCAGGGGCCCCCTCCCTTGGCGCTGAAGGGGTTAAAACACCTTCAGTTACTTACCTTAATCAGAGTGACCTCTCCTCCCTCGCCGACGTCAGCTCCCGAATGGAGTGGAATGCGCATGCGCAGCAAGAGCGCGCGCATTCAAACAGTCCATAGGAAAGCATTTCTCAATGCTTTCCTATGGACTTTCTGCACGATGGATGTGAATTTCGCACCCAGCGTCGCAGAAGCGCCTCCAGCAGCTGTCAGGAAGACGGCCACTAGAGGTTGGATTAACCCTGCAATGTAAACATAGCAGTTTCTCTGAAGGGTTAAAACTTGGGACCTGGCACCCAGACCACTTCATTGAGCTGAAGTGGTCTGGGTGACTATAGTGTCCCTTTAATATGTCCAAATTGCTACAAGCTCAGCAGTCTAATCTTGATAAGGGACATAACCGGCTGTTTCAAATAGCTCAACTACAACTTGCTTAAACTTTTAAAATGATTTTCTTAAAAATATTAAAAATAAATCATCATAAAAAAAAATCTAAAATATTAAATTAAAAAAAAATACTATATACTTTTAAAGGTTTATAAAAAAAAGTTTTAATTAAATAAAACGCTTATCCAAAAATATTAAATTGAGGCCTTACTTTGAATGTTTGATTCACAGATCAGTGAACAACCTCCAGGGTTATTAACTGAACTAAGAAGTAGCAAATTGAAATCTGAATAGTAAAAGTTAATTGAAAATAAGAAAGTTGTGATTATAGT